ACTATATATATATATATATATATATATATATCTATCCGCGTAATGTGTAATGTGTAAATACATGCTTCGAGTGTCGTGTAGTAGTTCAAATGCAGTAGCATGCGACGTAGATGCTTACCTATACTGATGCACAGTATTTGCCACCGCCCATTTCTGATGATCTCTGGAATGAGCAGCCGGTGGTTGAACGTACTCGTGTTTGTATTCAGCTCTCTTTCCAGGCCATGATACCCGCTTGTCCGTGCCGGTCGTATACACAATATGCTGCTCTTGAAGATGGGGATGCGCGCTACTCGTGGTCACATACTGCAAGAAGTAGTCATGCATGTCATAGGCATCATCCTAGAAAAACATTTTCAAAAGAAAGATTACTAAAACAGGGGAAGGGAGTATCCAATGAACGCGGAGCAGGATCGTCGTTATTGTTCCTCGATAAGAAGCTCCAGAAACTCTTGGTTGGCCGTTAAAAATAATCATGAAAAAAAAAAAAAGAGAAAAAAGAGAGAAAGAAAAGTAGAAAGAAGAAGAGAAAAAGAAATGAAAAGGTGGAAAAGATGAAGTAATAGATACGAAAAAAGGAAAATAAAAGAAAAGAAAAAATGTTGATTCAAATTAAAATTTAACCTGATAGGTCGGTGGCTCTTTACAGGCTGGCGCGTGACACGGATGTGGTGCAAGATACTCAACACCGGGCTCCGGTTTCGTCGCAACGTTCACCATATTGCATTCGGATTGTACTTTGGCCAACAAACGTTCTTTTGCGATTGAGAAGAGTATCCAGAGCTACTACTGCAATTAACAATGTATTGACGTCATATGAGAATGTTTCTTCAAATGAAATTATAAACTTTGATGGTCGATTCAATTACCTGCTGACGTGATGTTGTTGTTGAGGCTCGTGTTTAATTAGCTGCGTAGTTTGCTGATGCTGAGGATGTTGCGGTAAATGTTGATATAGATGATTATGTGCTCGACCTGGACTAGCTTCGCCATCGCTATCACCAACAGTTACACAACTAATGATATTTTTCCGCTGCGACCTCTGAGACGTACTATGTGCTGTTGCGTGTCCATTAGTGTGCGACTGACTACTCGAATGAGTTTGTTGCATAGGCTGGACCACGCGTGGTGTTGACTGCGTGCTGAAAGTATAAAAACAATCGTGCTATCAATTGCACGAGAAACAACAGAAGGAAACAGATATCCCCCGTGCAATCCAAAATACGTTACACTGAGCATGAAAAAATGGCATTAAACGCTAGGGCTGCAAGTTGGAGTTTTATATGTTAATTCGTAACGAGTTAATTGACACTCCAAGCGCTACAAATGTGTATTTAAATTGTTCTGATCATAATCTGTAATTTTTTAGGCCTGCAACTTTTGTCACAGGTGTGATAACATAAAATACGTTAATAATCAATTTCACAACGTTATATTTAAAAAAAGCATTCCGTTATACTATTGTTCTTAGCGATTATTAACCATTAATCAATGCTATTGTGTGATTACTACGTTACATTCATATACCTTCGAATGACTTCCTCGCGAACTGGACGTCCATCGCCAGACAGGCGAGTTGCCAAATTTTGACAGGCTCCGCATTGCCGATCTCCACAGCTGTCAATGATATTCATGCATGATTCCACTACTTTCTATTCTAATAAATTACTAATAAATATATTCCATGGTGGAAACATCTATGGACAGAATTTACAGATAAATCTCCGTAAAGAAAACAAAATGAAACAATAGATATTTGTAAACGAGACTCCAACAAATAGGCAATTTTCAAATTTATCGAACTACAAAAAAGTGTTTAACGAAGCAAATTAACGAAACAAATTAAATACCCGACTTGCTATATAACACTTTACGTTACATTCTCGATATAATATAAAGCTTCTAATTTTATAAATACGCACAAAAATTTCTAACTACGTTCTAATATTCCATGAAATAGAAAGTGAATTAACTCACCACTTGCCCGGAGTTTCGTCTTCACTATCACTAATTGTGATAACAGAAACTGCTGGTGATGGCGTGTCGTGAATCGTAATAGTCTGTTGCCGACCAGATGTAACTTGATGATGTTCTACGTTATGACTACTGCTGTGTTTACTGCTATGATGATGTTGTTGCATGGGTTGTTGCTGCCAATGACTGCTCGAAGGTGAATGCCGTCTCATGTTGCTCGGAGGTGTACTTTCTTTCACCCTCTTTTTCACCGGACTTAATTGCTGCGTTTCTTTCTTATGCTCGTGCCTATGCTGAGACTGTTGAGGTACTGTCACATGATGTTGATGATGCTTCGTGACGCTACGTTTTGCCCAAGCTTGAGGAGGGTGTTCAACAAGGGCACTAGTATTGTAAACTTCTGTGACAGGAAATACTGGCCGCTGATCCTTCCCAAAACAAGGGAGGTTAGTTAAAAGTCCGTTCGACTCGTTTACGAAGATAATTAATAGGGCGATAAAAAAAATAAGGCAATAAAATTACCTGCAGAATGGCAGAACTATCTACAATAAGAGGTCTTCCCCAATCCCCGGCATCACTCAATAATGGTTGCTGTATCGCTGCATGTTGCGGTGGCAACTGCTGCCAGGATGGTACGATAGCAGCCATTTGACGACTTCCACCAGGCCAAGAGGTTTGTACAGCATTCTACGAAAAATTAAATTATTCAATAATTTTTATATATACTTTGAAACAAATGTTTGCTTCAACGATACTTACAGTCAATAACATTTGTCGTCCAGTTTCTACCATAGATACGGGAACCGCAGCATACTGTTGTTGAGCAGCTGCAGCTGCAGCAGCAACAGCTTGCTGCGATATAATTGATGGTTGAATTTGTAGCGGAGCTTGTTGCGCTTGTGGAGGCTGAATGGTGAAAATTAAGAAATATGATTAAATATGATCATGAATATGTAGCGATATTGGATTCAAATAAAAACTTGTATCTCGTTTACTTGAGCAACAACTACGTGTTTTGCAGGACTTGGCATCGTTTGATAACTGGGTGGATGACAAAGTAGACCAGGTACCAATTGATGCGGAAAGTCATGTACTCCACTTCGTCCGCTATTTGATCCACTAGACGAGCTACTGTACTGAGTCGCACGACGACTACTGTTACTGTATATTTGATAACTAAAAAAAAAAAAAGAAAAAAAAAAATAACATATCACGATATAAAATAAATTTTATAGACAAAATTCTTATATCAAAGAAGAAAAATAATCGTAAGGAAATAAGTGAAATTTAATTTTAAATTATCCGATCAATCAAAAGTAAAAGAAAAAAAAAAAAAATGTAGAAACGAACCAGATTATCATATCCTGTTTGTGCAGTGCGATGTTCCCTAACCAATCGTTGTACTTGATTGGTTAACTGGTTATTGAAGGTGAAAGTTACGGCACTACCATTCGTCGTCGGCACGAAATTAGCTACCAATGACGTTGGTGGAGGTGGTTGAGGTGCTGGCGGAGCTTGGTGATGCGCTGGACTTGCAGTGAAATCACCGGCTCGTCGGCAAACCTCCATCATTTGGACGGAAGCCTTGACATTGTTACAATGCGCGTAATCGACTAAGTGAGCCAGCGTAACAAAGGCATGGTTCAGAGCCTCCCCGGGTGTTATACGGCGCTCCTACAAATGATGAATACATGCTAAAGAATGATGAAAACAAGATAGAGAATAATTCTCATTTCTCTCATTTTTTAAAAAGACCGTCGTCTCGTCGTCGTCTTTCGATATTTTAAAACGAAAACATGAACTAGATATTACTACCTGGTCCATCGTGAGCATCCTCTTCAAGAGGTCTATGAACTCTCTTCTATCTGCTTTCTCTGCCAAAAGTTGACCACCCTCCAAATCAGTCGGAACATTAACTTGACCAATATCATCAAGACAATTAAAAATATACTTTCTTGCTTCTTTAGATTTAATACCAGTTTCAGCCTCGTGTTCTTCCGGTGTTTTTAATCGCCAAAATGGATATGTGCCTATAATTGAAATAATTTAAATTAATTTAATTACGTGCATCTGTTATTCAAAAATACCGTATCACAGACGAAATTAATTGACGGATTTGTTACGTACTGTCCATGTCTCTGTAAAAGAATTTTGTTGTTTTGCTGGCATTGTTTAACATGTGTTCCGTTGGTACACCTTGTGTCTGGCTTATATATCGAATCTGATCATATTCCGAGCTACCAGGGTACAAAGGCCACCCTAGAAATAATTCCGCAACCACACAGCCGAGCGACCACATATCTATTGCTTCACAATATGGAAGTCCAAGTATAATTTCAGGTGCACGGTAGTATCGCGATTGCAAATAAGTGTTGCAGACAGCTTTAGACACATGAGAGGCTGACCCAAAATCAATAACTTTAACACGATAAGGCTGACGTACTGGATCCACCAACATAATATTTTCTGGCTTAAGATCGGCGTGAATCAACCCCAATTGCTGAAAGCAAAGTATATGTATATATATATATATATATATATATATTGGTTGTAAGTTCGTTATCCAATTCGAATCGTGAAAATCGATAGCGAACCGATCGAGTTTCAACGCTAATAAGAAACGCAAACTCACCTTAAGTTTTAAAAGAGCGGTGAGTACTTGTTGGAGAATCGGTCTGATGTATTTGAGCGGTAGAGGCGAAAATTTATTCTGTTTCAGGAAATCATACAGATTCTGTTCTAGCATCTCAAAGACCAAGCAGGTATGGGATTTGTGCTGGAAGCACTCATAAGCGCGCACAAAGTTGAACTCATCCGCATTTTCCTGACTAAGTCGAGACAGGATGGAGACCTGGATCGATATTCCACTTAATAATAACGATACGTTATTAAAATTAATCCATACTTTGGCTAAACAACTGACCTCAATTTGCCCTTGGCGCGCATATGATGGATGGTTCTTCAAAATTTTGATGGCCACTATTTCATTGGTTCCCTTTTTCCAGCATTTCACGACCTGTGAAACGAGATAAAGATGAGTAATTATTCAAATTAACGGTACAACAGGTAGAGAGAAAACATTTATTTATAAACAAGTAGCCAAGGAGAAGAATTTTTACCTGTCCAAAAGTACCTCTGCCCAAAAACTCGAGGACTTCATACTGATTAGTCATAGAATAGAGAACCTCGTGTTGTACCAACTGGTAATCTCCGTCTCCTTGAGGATTGCTGCCACCGCCTCCATTGGCAGCGTTGGTCACTTGCTTGCTATGTGCCGTCATGCCTGTCTGCTTGTGTTGTTGTTGCTGCTGCTGCTGTTGTTGTTGCAGCTGCTGTTGCTGTTGAGTGTGGTGCTGCGACACTACAGTACTACCCACTGCGTTCGTCGCGTTGGCGGAGTGGACTGCCAGGCCGTCACCATTACCCTCCCTCGACCAAGTTTTTCTCTGTAGGAGGAATACACCTTATACAAAAATTTTTGGACGTTAAGAGATTGTAGGTAGCTTTCGATAGCTTTAGATAGATTGGGTAGGGACGATAACGACCAACACACGGAGGACGATGAATCCAATGTTGAGACAACACAAATCCAAGAAACACGAATCCATCGGATGTGATCTCTGATTCTGTTACATGAGCACATCATACATACATACACATAAGCGGCTGCATCGTTGAAAATTAATTTCAAGCACATATGGAACAGGTATATAGAATTAAAACTCGGAGATAGAATTAACATTTTTTTCTTTTTTACACAAAGCCATCGATTGTCTCGTCTCGACGAGATTTTTAGCAAGCGTTAAGAGAAACACTTTGTTATTGGCGGAAATATATGACGATGACCGGTTACGATGAAATGAAAACCTTGGAGGCAATCGATACGTAACTACGCCATACGGAAAAGTTGCCTGAGAAACGACATGCCCGTCGTTGCTCGTGATACGGTTCCGTGATAGACGGGCCAAAAATCGATCGATTCATTCCTTAATTAACCGTAACCGAGTGGTATCGATTTGCAAAGATGTTAATTGCGATTAAACGCGGGAAGATAAAAGAAAGAAGCAAAATTCTTGTTTTCTTTTTTTTTTTTTTTACGGATCGAGCCTATCTTTGCGAAAGTTAGTCCATCAGAATTATCATATATTAATCCGTGAACGATTATCGTTTCGTAAATACCATGTTTTCTCTCTCTTTCTTAGCGGCACGCTCTGCTTGAACTTGTTCTTTTCTTTTTTTTTTTTTTTTGCCGCACGATTTTGAAATCGTTGTCGTGGAAAGCCTGCTGGCTTCTGCGAAACCCAGCATGGCCGGATGACGAAGTCGATTTTCGAGCGGCGTCAGAATGGCAAAATGACGGGGCACCGATGACCATTTGGCCGCGAAATGAAAAAGAGCGCGGCACTATTTTTAGCGGCCTTGAGCGCGATTGTATCGCGGAAACGGAGCGCGGGCAACGATGGAAAAATAAGCGAAGATAGAAGGAATACGTACACGAGTTCTCTTATCTTAGGAAAGGGGCAGATGGATGACGAAATAAAGAAGAAAGACGGATCGAAAGAGCGGATTAAATTTGTCGTTGACTGAGCGCGGAACAGAAATCGTTTTCCGTTCCGAATCGAACAAGGAAACGGGGCGGGAAGAGAGGGGGAAGAAGGTCGAGGGACAGCTGGAAGGATAAGGTCCCTAAAATTTCGAAAGCGTCCCCCGAAACGAAACCGAGGCTATTCCTTTTCAACATTCATAAATAACGCGTTGAAGCTGGATATTTCTCGTTTCTATTTATTATCCCCCGTAGAGAAACGTCGCGCGATGACCATGGATGTTGTTTGTTGTACACGGAATCGGTTGCGTGAAAGAAAAATAAAAAAAAAAAAGAAAAATGTGTTGTTTTTTTAAGCGAGGAGGAGAGAACGAACGGGCTTCGCTTATTTATAGTCGTTTCGAGCCGGTACGCGCCATCTCATCGAGCGTATCGATAGCAAAGAACGAGGTAGAGAAGAGGAGAAGAGGAGGCGAGAAGCGCGAATACATTAGCCCCGATTATGAAGTTCTAATCTAAGCGTTTACCAACGTATCTCTAGCGTTCATCTCGCGATGGTCGAAGCGTTAACGTCAGAGTCAGTAGAGAGAGAGAGAGAGAGAGAGAGAGAGAGAGAGAGAGAGAGAGAGAGAGAGAGAGAGAGAGAGAGAGAGAGAGAGAGAGAGAGAGAGAGAGAGAGAGAGAGAGAGAGAGAGAGAGAGAGAGAGAGAGAG